GTGGTCCCGCTCCCAGATCCGTGGCCGGGCGCTCGGTGACGCTGCGGGGAGSAGGCCACCACACCTGGAGCCACCAGCAGCCCCCAGCGGGGACCCAAACCGGAGTCACTTCTTGTGCCACAATTGCAGTTTTGTCCCTCCCGAGGAGGGCAGGCTTGGAAACTGCATGGGGACACAGAGGGATTCGGGGAGCGCTGGGTCTGCGGCAGCTTTGGGGAGGCTTTGGGGTCTCCTGGGCGAGCGGAGCTGCTGGGCTGGGGGCTCCCGACCGCCCGCCTTGGCACGGTGGGTGACACGGCGCTGGCGTCGGTGACACSGGTGCCAAAGCAGGCTCCGCTCCCTCCTCTCCCGCAGCCACACGTGCGCCATGTGGAGGTCGCTGGCCTGCGAGCCGGCGCTCACCTCGCAGATCCTGGAGCAGCTCCTGGACAAGGTGGACCGCGACGTGCCCTACAAGGAGAGCAAATGCTTCCTGCTGGGGAGCAGCTCGGAGCGCGTGGCCACGCCGCAGCCGCTGGCGGTGAGTGGCGCGGCGGGGAGCCCGGCCCGCGGCGCTCGTGCCCGCCCAGGGCTCTGGCAGTAACGCGCCGCTGCGTAATGCCTATTAGAGCTAAGCCGCGCGCTCGTAAAAAGCCTCTCAGGTGTCCGGCCCCCGGGGAGGCCACTTTGCATTTTATCCCTCCAGAAAAATAAACCCAGCTTGGCAGCTCCCTGAGCGGAAAAGCAGCTGTGCACATTTCCTCCTGCTCCGCAGCACCAGCTGCAGACGGGAGCGTGCCGGCCGCGCCGCCGGCCGCCGCTGTCCCCTCCCTCGGCTTGCTCGGGTTCCCCTCGGGTTCCCCTCGGGTTCCCCTCGGGTTCCTCGGGTTCCCCTTGGGTTGCTCGGGTTGCTCGGGTTCCCCTTGGCTTCCTTGGGTTCCCCTCAGGTTCCTCTCGGGTTCCCCTTGGGTTCCTCTCGGGTTCCCCTCGGGTTCCNGGTTCCCCTCGGGTTCCTTTCAGGTTCCCCTCGGGTTCCCCGCGGGTTCCCCGGGCAATTAGGGCTTGGCAAACGGGGCGCGGGGCAAGCATGGCATGCATCTCCCTGCCCGACCACCCCAGCGCTCCGACGTGCTCCCCGTTCCCCGCTGGAAACCTCCGGCTTTCCCACGGGAGCTTGCGCAGGTTTTCCCGGAGCGGCCTCGCTCCCGCTGCCTTATTTCCTATGAGGGCGCGCGCGGGACGGGAGCCTCCGCCTGAGCCGCCGCCGCCGCGGGCTCTCCCTGCAGGCCACGTGCGCGCTGCATGAGCTCATGTCTGCTCCCGAGTGCGGGCCCGCCGTGCTGGGCCTCTACCCGCGCCTCTTCGTCACGCTGCTGCTGCGCGTCAGCTGCACCGTCGGGGTGCAGCTCCCCAAGAGCCTGCAGAGCCGCGAGAGGAGGAGCGGCGGCGGCGCCGCGCCGGCCCCGCACACGCTCGAGCCCTGCAGGTAGGACCGCACGCGCGGCGCATGGGGAGGCCGCGCTGCCCGCCGCGCTGCCCGTGCACCGTGAGCCTCGCGGGGGATGCATGCATGCATGCGCTGCAGCGGCGTGCTGGGTTGCAGCCTCTGCAATGCGCCACGTGTTGTGCGGGGGGGTCTGCGTGGCCAAAGGGTTTGGGAGGAGCGCGAAGGGGACGGCGACGTCCCCGATGCCGTTGGCACGTGCGGCCGCCGGTGCCCGCGGCCCCCGCGGCACGCGGAGCTGCCCATGGAGCCCTGCAAGCGCAGCCTTGTCCTGGTGACAGGCGCGGGCCGGGCCCGTGCCGAGCTGCGGTGCGCCGGGGAGGCCGCCTCGTTGGCACTTCCAGCGTTGGCACCGGGATGGGCGGCCGGTCCTGGAGCTGGGCACGTGTTGGGCAAGCAGGAGGCATTGTGCTCGGTGAAGGGAATGCCGCGTCGGGCTGCGATC